ATATGCCTAATTTAACCAAAACTTAAGTTATATCCCTACCTAAGTTATATCTCCAAAAACTCTCCAGATAAAAGGGGGGATATAACCCAAGTATGACTGTATAATAATGAAGAACATACACAGATTAAAAGAACAAATGTAGGATAGCTATCAGGTATTCTGATGTTTGCTAATAACAACCTAATATTAAAAAGTATTTATTTCTTAAGTACATGATATACTTTAAATTTTTAGTGCAAGAAGTAAGCTATTGAATTAATTTCTGACTAATAAATATACCAAGAACAGTGTACAAATACGTAAGTATAGTTTACAAATGTGTATCTTTTTTTTATCCAATTGGTTAATCGAATTTCATGACTTTATCTTGAAATCATTATATTTATAAATACTTTATAAGCATTTTTGTCTATTGACACAATTGATAAAAAAAATGGTTATGATTAAAGAATTTCTCTATTTATTATTGTGGCTTGTAACCCTGTGACTCATACATGAAATTATTCTTGTTTTTGCATATTTTTGTTTGCTGTTCTGACTGTAATGTCGTTATTTAAATCAATTAAATCATAAATTTTCTGCTTCACTTGATTTGAATAATCAGGCTTGTGGTTATACCGGTTTACACTGTTTAAATATAAAATTTTCATATATCAAGTTTCAACTATTCTTGGAATTAATTCAAAAGTATCTATTTTTAAAGCATAACAAATCGGACATCTGATAGTGTGTATAACATATGTAATACACATAATACACTAGCATTTATAAATAATTTAGATGCAATATTGTGCAAGGAACAATTTTTGTTAGAATTCGAAAGACAGTTTTTTTTTTGATTTTTACCTCTCTCCGCTATCCTGAAGGTCCTTAGACACCTTAGGATCTCTCACTTTTCTTAAGGCCAGAGTCATCATTCAGCGGAGATCAATGGACGGCCGGTGGCCCCTATATTATTCGGTCCCTGCGAGTTAACACACTTCATTGCTGCGTACGTCACCTGTGGTGTTCCCCAGCCCTTCCGTGCCACGTGGAGGTAAGTCTATCACCTTAGAAATATCCCGGGTCCCTGGTTCCGCGGTGTAGGACCCCGACAGGGTCCGCAGTTCCTTATCGCCACAGCCTCACAGTTCCCTTTCCTATTTTGTTAATGTCTCTATTATATTTGATCCTTTTTAAGCTGGGTTTACTCAATTTTAGCGTCTTTTGCTGACGGATTACGCCTTATCTGGTTGTCCCGACCTCATGGTTATGCCGCCGACTACATTCGGATGTATGGTCTTTGTTCTTCATCGCAGGAATCCTCTCAATGATCATTTTCCAATCGTGGTCCTAGCCGAGCCTTGTCCCCCAGCTGGATTCGAACCCGCGACCTTGCGATTGTGATCCGGGAACGCTAACTACTGCGCTATCGACCCAAGGGTCGAAAGACAGTTTCATAATCAAAAATTTGAGATAGAGGTACATTCATGATTTGATCTAGAATATTCTTAAAATTTTTTTGCGTGCTGTCTGTACGTGGCACATCACTAAGTGCCACAACCTATATATTTACTAAATGCAATACCAGTACTCCTCACGTTCCCGTTCCTGGTTTTGCGTGACAACGTTGCGCAGCTATCTTATTTGATTAGCTAATGCTAGTCAATTGCCTATAGTGTGTATCAAATGCTTCACAATTTATCAATGAGATGCTAGATCAGTTCTCATTTGTACATTACTTGGACTATTTGTTAACTACTTATTTGCTTTTGTTCCTGGTTTCTGGCGCGACTACGTCACACAGCTACCTTATTATTAATAAATCACTAGGTCACTATACCCTATATGTTATATTAATTTAATGTTTTTAAGTACGTACAGTAGGCTCCAAAAGTTTAGGACGGTTATACAAAAATTTTATGCAAAAAAAAAAAATTAAATAAAATAACGTAATAAAAAGATAATCAAAATATTAATTAATAAATTAATACGTATTACGTACGTATTTAACATACAGTATCAAGTATATTGATACGCATGTACTGTACGTATACTCTATGCTGTATAATCATTATGCATTGATATTGTAATACGTATTATATTAATTTCGCTGACTTGTACGTATATTTGTAAATTTATGATTTTTTTGATTATTTTTGTGTAACTGTCTTAAACTTTTGGCGCTTACTGTACGTGCGTACATACCTATCGAGGGTTTAATGCTGATTTTCTTTGGTAATTAATTATGCGGGACTAAAGTGGATCCGTATTAATATAAATTTGCGGGACGCAAATGTAAAAAAAGTATCCTTATGACTAAACGTATTGCAATTATAGGCGCAGGTAAGCAAGATATTTACAAAATTTTAAGAATATCTTAAACGTTGAAAGAAATTTTTTGATATTTTAAATAAAAGATTAAATAAGATTTATATCAGGAATCTCAGGTTTAACAACAATAAAACAATGTTTGGTTGATGACTTGATTCCAATTTGCTTTGAACAAAATTCTTTTATCGGTGGAATATGGAGATATGAAGATGTCTATGAAAAAAACAATGATCCTTATCCTTCAGTTTATAAAGGTGTTTTAACCAACACATCTAAGGAAATGGTTGGTATTAATTTAACTCTTAGAACAAGTCAAGTTAAATTTACAAGTAATCTATTTAAATCTGAAAATAGACAACGTTTTCTGATTTTCCAATTCCGGTAGACTGGCCGACTTATTTGAATCATTCACTAGTAGAAAAGTAATCTTTTTCAATAAACTTATTTTTATTATTTTTTTCATTGGCAACTCTCATAACTTTTTTTTTTGATTTGTCAAAAATAGGTACATTAATATGTACGCTGAACATTTTAATCTTTTACCTCATATTAAATTTAATACTGCCGTGTTAAATATATCTATACTTCCTGATAAACGTTGGAAAGTTAAATATATTATTCAATGTGAAAATGAAGAAAAAGACGAAGTTTTTGATTTCGTAATTGTTTGTACCGGCAAACATCGCAAACCAAAATGGCCCGAATTTAAAGGAATGAATTTATTTAAAGGTAAACAAATCCATTCTTATATGTATAAACGGTGAGTTTGTTTGCAACTTATCTATATATATATGTACAGTTGCCTCCGAAAGTTTAGGATGGTTACACTGAAACATATTACGTAAAAAAAAAAATCAAAAAAAGTCATTAACAATTATAAAATATAATTTTATGCTGATGAAATTTTTATTTTTTTATGTTTCTGTGTAACCGTCCTAAACTTTCGGAGGCAACTGCATATATTATTATCATTATTAAAAATATCAACTCTTTTAGAGCTATAGATTTTGAAGATAAACGTGTTTTGGTGGTTGGTTGTGCTAATAGGTATGAATATAACCTAAGTTACGCGATTGTAAGATTCATATAAAAACAAGTTATTCACTAATTAATTTAGTGCAATGGACATCGCGGTTGAATTAACTCATGCCGCATCACAAGTCTATTTAAGCATTCGCAGAGGTACATTTTACATTTTACATTTTATATTTATTTTAGGATAAATGTATACGTCGCATACTGTGATGTGCTTATACATCGCATATATTTACAAATTATAATTTAACAACTAAAATAAACTAGTTTTTTGTTTAGTTAGGGTTAGGGTTATGTAGGATTAGATGCAATAAACAGAAAGAATTTATAGTAAAAATTTTCAAGGAATTTTTTTTGATAGAGTACGAAAGATAGTTTCATATGTAAAAATTTGAGTTATAAGTGACTTTTATCAAAGCGAACGTCTTCCGATCGTGCTACGTTACACCTGATATAGAAATTTGATTGGCCAATCATTAATATGCGATGTATAAGCACATTGTGGAGTTGTGACGCCTAATTAAGTCCTTTATTTTTGGTCTTTATAAATATAATTCTTTTTTTATTATTTCACAGAAAAACTTCCATGGATAATACCGCGTTTTATAAATGGTAAAGCGCATGACCATAGTCCATCTCGTTTCTCTGCATATATGATTCCACCTTTTATTAGAGGAAAAATACTTGAAAATAATATAATTAAACCTTTTTCGTTTCCTCCTAATTTAATGCCTAATGAACCTTTAATTACTTCACTTCCTGTTATAAATTTTGAAGTTTTTCAATGCCTTACAGCTGGTACAGTTATTGTGAAATCGGATATTAAAGAACTTAAATCTGAGAATAATCTAATTGAATTTGTTGATGGGACTATCTTAGAGAATATTGATGTTGTTATTTATTCTACTGGTTATGATATCGAATATCCATTTTTAGAAAATCATATTTTTACTGGTGGGGATGAAATTGTTCAAGAGTTTGAAAAAGATTTTTATAATTTAATTTGGTTGTACAAATCAATGTTTCCTCCAAAGTATCCAAATATTGCTTTTATAGGATTGACTTTAGCAGTTGGTGCTAATTTACCAATCAGGTAAGTTTTGAATTTAAGAATTTTAATGTATTTATACTATTATGTTTTTATATTAAATTTATTTTGCAAAGTGAAATGCAAGCACGTTACATAACAAGTCATATTAAAGGATTGATCAAGCCATTCCCATCTCAATATGAAATGGAAAAATCTATACGTAATAATTATGAAAAAGTTCGTAAAAATTCTTGCAAACATGCTCGTAATGCTATTCGACAAAATTACCTATCTTATATGGATAATTTGAGCAAAGATATTGGTTGTTATCCTTATTCTTATGAGATAATTAAGAAGTTTGGCTTTAGATTTTGGCAATTAATTATGTTTGGCATAGCCACTCCTATACAAGTATGTAATTTTTTTTCATTACACTAACAAATAATGTTAATATATTTTATAACATTAAATATATAAATATATTTTTTAATAGTATCGGTTGCTAGGAAGGGATTCTTGGGAAGGTGCAAAAGAAGTTATTTTGCTTTATAACAAAGATAATTTTAATCATATTGTTAGAAGTTCCAAAGTATATAATTTCTGGATTTATATATTTATTATTTTATTAATGGTGTTAAAGCGAAAAGGTGTTGTTACAAAAATATTTAATAATGTAAATTGGAAATTTTTGAATAAATAATATATATTATTGTTTGAAATGTGCAAACATGTGCTACGGTTCAATATGGTTTGTTAGTTTAGTCTTGATTAAATTCGTTTTATTTACGTACATACTTTGAAGTGTGTTAAACAATACACCAGATTAAGAAAACTAAATATAAAATTTGTTGCTTAAAGTCATTATTTATTTAGTGATAGTTATGTTATATTTTACTTTTTATATTTTCATTTTTATCTTAAATTTTACTTTTTATATTTTCATTTTTATCTTAAATCTTATTTTTACTTTAACTATTTTTATGCCAGATAGAAGATACTATCATTCATTAGTTATTATTGATAAGAAACTCCATTTTAGTGATGGAATTAACGAATGAATTATTTTATTTAGATGTTTCTAAACAATTTATAATAGCAGTGTTACGATGGTAACGTGAGGAAGGTGTGATGATAGAATTGTGCTAGGCTGTGCGAAACTTAGAATCAGTACGTACAAGCCCTTTATTTGTAAATAGAATTTTCTAAAAATGTATAGATTTTAATTTTATATTTATTGCATTTTTCAAATTACTGTGATCCGCAAGTCCTACGTATCATACTAGGAATCAGAAATCTAAAATAAATACAAATACATGATTGGATAAAACTTATTTCCAGCCAATCACAGATTTGCATTTATTCTCAGTGTGATATGTAATCACAGTAGTTCGAAAAGTGCAATAAAACATTACACACTAACACTAAATCAAATCAGTAAAATTTTTTAGAAATCATAATATTAACAGCTAACTACATGCACAGTTGCCTCCAAAAGTTTGTCATGGTTACACAATAACATAAAAAAAAGCATAACAAAAATTTATGCAATAATAGTAATGATTGTAGTTGTTAGCTATTAATGTTTAATTTGCTATATATCGATCAAGTATAATTATGCATTAATATTATATTAATTTGTGAAATATATTAATATCATTGATTGCATAAATTTTGTTATGCTTTTTTATATTATGTTTTTCATATAACTGTGATAAATTTTCAGAGGCAACTGTATATACAGTTACATATTGTAATTTAATTCATTATAACTATTATTATATAGATATAAATAATATTATTTAAGTCATACATATAACATCAAATTAAAAAATTATAAAGTTTTATTATCATAAACTTTATATATATATTTTTATATTGTAATTATTAAAAAATACAAAGCAAAAATTTTCTATCAATGTGGAAGGCCAAGTTAATGATAGTCAAACCCAATGTATAGGGTAGACTATGGTACTTTGCATAGCTGTGAGAGTCAAGCATATAGTGATCAATTCTACAGAAGACAATTTTGAAAGATTATTTACAACATCTTTAATTTCTTATGATCTTCATACATGTTTTAATAAATTTCTTCTCTATTATAATCTATCACTTCTTCCTCATGGTCAAACTATTTAAACCTTAATTCAACATATTGACAAATATAATAACAACAAAATTGTATCTAGTATTATATTTTTTATTAACTTATCTTATAATGAAACTCACATATACCTTCCTAATAACATTCTCTTATCAGATCATATAATTATTGTTCTACACCTTCTCTTTCTATTTTATAACCTTCTTCTTAAATCCAACTCCTTTAGTTCCACTTCTATTTTATCTGACTCCTTCTTTAATGACTATCACTCAACTCCTATTGACTATAACTCTGTTTTATATTTTTCTAATTCAAGTTCTTATTATCTTAACCTAACTATTATTATACACAATTTCAGAGATTTTAATAATTCAATAAAAAGAAAATCTTGACAAGATAACTGTCTTAATAATGACATATCTATTGTCAACATTATTGAAACAAAAATTTCTGACAAAACTAGTCTTTTTTTTTATAACAACAACTCTTTCATCTACTATTGGTCTAACTTTTCTATTTCTGTAGAAGAAACAGCCATTATAATTTATAATCACCTTAAACCTCATATTTATATTATTTATACTCATCTAGGAAGAACCATTGCAATCAATATTTTCTTTTGAAGCAATGGCAAACTTTGTATTATCTCAGTATACTTCTCATCTACTTATATAATTATTCATAACCAAACTCAAAATACAATAATCAATTGGATTTAACAAACTTTTTAACTCCACCTTCATCCTATTATCCTTAGTGACTTTAATATACAGAATTATACCTACAATTCTTCTTCCAAATATAAACTCATCAACTTTCTTAATCACTCCAATATGTATGATATTGGAGCCTATTTTAATAACAAACATTCTATTTGGTCTAATAATACTAATAGTAGTCATATTGACTATATCTAAACTGACTAATTTAATATGCAATTTTTTCTTTCCTATATTCTTGACAACAATTAAACCTCTATCTCAAGTTATCACTTGATTCTTACCTCTACCTAGACATTTTCACATGACTACAATAAACCCTATAAAAATATACTGAGATTAGTTATTATATATTTAATTATAAAATAATAATTACAGAAGACTGAAACTATTTTACTGATACTTTAATTCAACAACTTTCACTATACAAAACTCCTATCAACAATACTATTGATGAAAGTATTGAAACTACTTAGCACAAAATTTAATATTCTATAATCTATTCTGCCACTCATACAATTCTTAATAAAATCTTTTACAAACAAAGTTACAATCACCAATATTTATCTCATAGTACTTTACTATATTTCTCTCTTAAAAAAACTCAGACATATCATTAAACTTGTTAAAAAGTTTATTCAATCTTCTAATATCTCAAGTATTAACCAAAACATCACCCAAATTAATAAACAGTTACAATATGACCTTCAACTACTTACCTTCACTAATTTCTCCTGTATTCAACTATAGCTTCAATATATCTACTCTATTTGGAAACAACTTTACCATGCCTGTCAGCTTAAAAACTTTCTTTTACTTTGACAACAAATTAATAAAGTTATTGATAAAAGATGTATTACTTTTATAACACATTCTACTCAAATTATTAATAATATTCTCAATCGCTATCATCAACCTGTTCATTTTTCAAATATAAAATTACCAAACTAACTTATTACAGATCCATCACTTATTAAACAACATGTCCAATCCCATTTTCATAATTGGACTACATTCAGATCTATCAATGAAAGCCTCTTTAATAATTTTTGCAACAACAATATCTTTCATTTTCTCATATTAACCCAAACTAGTATCATTCACTTAATACTCCTATTACAAATAAAGAACTTCTTTAAATTCTCTTACAATTACCTAATAACAAAGCCTGTAGTTCTATAGCCATTAGTTATGAAATGCTTAAACATATTAGCCTCCAATATACTTCTGCTATTACAGCTCTCTTTAATCATTGTCTTCTTGATAACAAAATTCTCAAATAATGAAAACATAGCAGAATTTATTTTATTCCTAAATATAACACCTTTGATAATGACCTTAACTTCATATGACCTATCAGTCTAATTAAACATATTCACAAACTTTATACAAAAATTCTTACAAACTGACTTAGATCTGTATTTTTTTCAAACCCTATTCTCTCACCTTTTAATTACATTGCATTTCCTAATAATAGTACTTCAATTCTTATTCACATTCTTAATAATCTTATTGAAGATACTATCTGTAATTACAAAAACATTTAGTTACTCTCACAAAATATAAGCAAAACATATGATTCTGTAAACTTTGCTCTTTTCAAATATTTACTTTCACATCTCTCATTTCCTTCATTCATTATTAACATTCTTATTGATCTCCTTACTGATCATCACAACTAAGTTATTACTAATCTTGGTCTTACTCCTTCTTATCTAGTTCACAATAGTATTGACCAAGGTGAAACAATTACACCTTTATTATGATGAATTTATTATAATCCACTTATTTCATACATATACTCAAAAGTTTCTGGATATACTTTACAATCTATTTGGACCACTAATCTAAAACTTCAAACAACTAACTCATTACAAAAACAATGCTCTGTTTTAGCATATATGAATGATACTTTTTAGGTTACTTCTTCACAACTGAGTTATCTCATATACTATCTATAGCTGAATAATTTTATATTATAACAAACATTCAAGTTAATCTCTCAAAATCTATTTTGGTTACTAATAACCCTCTATCCAACTATACTCCTATCTCTTATAATAATCATCTATTTCCACTTTATTCTTTTAAACAACTCTTCAAATTTTTAGGTTGTTGGTTTACTTTAGATAATAGGCAATTTAAATAAACAAAATTAATTATTTCTGAATCCTTCCAACTTATCTAAATTGAAAAAACAAAATATATAACTGATTCACATGTCTACTATATTATTAATACAGTTATTATCCTTACTATTGAATACCATTTATATAATATTGTTATTAACCAACCTACTTGCAACAAAATTTTTAATCAACACATTGGTCTTGTTAAGCTTAAAGCTAAACTTTGCTGTACAATATCATCTAGTATTTTATTACATCCTTACTTTTCAACATTAAATATATTTAGGATATTCAACTACAATACCATATTCCAAATCTTTTTAAATGATTTAACAATTCTGACCTACTAGACACATCTACTTATATATATATTTAACAACTCCAAAACAACCTTTGGTCTTCTACTAACATTTTTCTTCATCCTAAACCAACCCAATTGATTAACCACAAACTTCAAAATAATATAACTTATCAAACATATAGACTGAACTTTTCAACTAGCCCAATCTTCGATATCTCTTACACCCTTAATGATGAAACCATATCTCTTGAATCTCTTCTTTTTTCTTATCCAAAATATACAATTTTCAGAAAACAACTCAAACATCATAAACTTCTTTTTCTAAACCAACTTACTACTCATGACAACTCATGTCTTTTGTATTGGCAACATATTTTACCTAGACTTAACAAAATTCCAAAAGGTTTTATAGCATAATAGTTTACTATCCTTGAGGATATTACTACAAGTCACTTCTACCAATGCACTTTATATGATCATTATAATTTACCTTCTATAAACTACTTCTGCTACTATAGAAATATTCTAAACTCTTTCTGCAAATCCATTACACAAAAATTAACTAAAAAATTCATTCGTCAAAAAACGCATATAACTATTTTTTTTACTAAGACAACCTGTCCTGG